GAAGCAGGCTCCCCACTGAGCAGGGAGTCTGACTCGGGCCTCGATCCCAGGACCCTGAGATCATGACCTGAGCCGAAGACAGAAGCTTAACCGACTGAGCCACCCAGGCGCTCCAACAACAAATAATTTTTTAAAAGAAGTGTGCCCCATGTAAGCATCACTAGTACCAAAGACAATGGTGGTCCTGGCACTCCCTCTGGAGAATGATGAGCAGGGCTTGATTGGCCATGCGATCAGAGTGGAACACTTATATTCTAAAGGATTAGAGGAAGGGGTCTTCTGACTGGGCTTTCCCATCTCGCTGAGATGGGTCACCCCTTCTGTGGGAGGAGCTTACCTGATGCAGGGCCTCAGATAGTCCTTGGCACATTCAGAAACATAGATGATGACAACGAGGTCAGTCAGTTGACAAATGCCTTTTGAACACCCACTCTGAGACAAGCATTTCTTATACTCAAAGAATACAAGAGGGATAAGGCAATATCAATATAGCAATATCAAGGAAAGTGAGAAAATTTTTTACCTGTGCAATGGGAGGAAGCAGTAAATAGAATACCATAAGAAATGGAGGAAGATGAGGCACAAGGATTTGGAATGACAGATTAAGGAACTGAGCATTTACTCCAAGAATAGGAATGGAGTTCCTTTTGAAGCAGAGAGATGATATGCTCAAATTTGCTTTTTGGAACATCATTTAGCTTGTGATGTGAAGGATGAATTGGAGGAGGGAGTTAGAACCAAGCTGATGAGCTAGAAGGATGGTAAGTCTTTATTTTTTTTTTTTTAAGATTTTATTTATTTATTTGACAAGAGAGAGACACAGCTAGAGAGGGAACACAAGCAGGGGGAGTCGAAGAGGGAGAAACAGGCTTCCCGCAGAGCAGGGAGCCCAATGCGGGGCTCGATCCCAGGACCCTGGGATCATGACCTGGGCCAAAGGCAGACGCTTAACCAACTGAGCCACCCAGGTGCCCCAAGGATGATGATAAGTCTTGAGTTAGGATAATGGTAGCAGGAAGAAGGAGTGGGGAAAGATTTGAAAGATGTTAACATATGGGGCTTTTTTTTCCTGTGCCACAACTGTTGGGGCTATTTGTTCTCCCCTTCTTCTGTGGGCGTTAATGAAACTCCCAATTTTCATCTGGGCACATGGCCACACAAATAAAAACTTTATTTCTCAGTGATCCTTGTCAGAGTGGCTATTTGGTTAAGTTCTTCTGACCTGTAGGATGTACTATAGTGCCCTAACTTAAAAGTATAGGGTTGAGGGGCGCCTGGGTGGCTCAGTCGGTTGAGTATCCGACTCTTGGTTTCAGCTCAGGCCATAATCTCAGGGTGGTGGGATCGAGCCCCATGTCGGGCTCTGTGCTCAGCACAGAGTCTGCTTGAGATTCTCTCTCTCTGCCCCGTCTCTGCTCACACACTCGCAGTAAATAGCATAACATAACATAACATAAATACATAAAATCTTTTTTTAAAAAAAGCTACAGGGTTGAGATGGCCAGCTGTCTTGGATCGTGCAGATGATGGCAATATCCTAAGGATGGTAGAGCCATTAACCTGGCTAAAGGTCCAACTTTACATGGGATAAAAATAAACTTTTACTTTATTTGAGGGCGTGTTTACTTTGGCTTCCTATTATAGCTGCCCAATCTCCTTTCTAACATAAAGAGGTAAAAGCCATAGGTGAGAGCTAAGATGTAGGGACTAAAGGAGACGTGGGGAAGAGAGGAAGCTGCAGAGGTTTTTGTTATACCCAAGGCAGTGTTTCTTTTTTGAAATGTACCCTTTTGACCACCTGCAGTGTAATCTCTCAGGGTGGAGTCCACTTGGGTGATTTATAGGGACCCAGGCCTTGGCAATCCCCTCCCTCAACTGCCAGGCTGGCCCTGCTGGAACTGGGATCTGCCAGGTCTGCCTGCCTTCCGCAGGGGTCTCCATAGTGATCTATCCTCCAGGCAGCCAGCAGAACAGCCTGCTCCTCCTATTGGTAGTTCAGTGTCTGCCTCTGCCCCAGAGTTTATTTTTGGCCTTCAGATTTGGGACTGAAGACAGGCTCTGTCATGCTAAGTCAGGTCGCTATCATTTTTTACCTGGATTACACAAGGCCCTGAATGATCTGGCCCGACTACCTCTCTCACCCTTCACCTTATCACATGGCTCCAGACAGCACTGGTACCATCCTATTGAGTATCTTCCTTCCTTAGGGCCTCCATCTACTTAGGAACTTCCCACTTCTTTCTCCTCTTTTTTTTTAAATTTTTTATTTACTTTTTAAAAAGATTTTATTTATTTATTTGAGAGAGAGAGAACACAAGCAGGGGGACTGGCAGGCAGAAGGAGAAGCAGACTCCCCATTGAGCAAGGAACCCGATGTGGGGCTCCATCCCAGCACCCTAAGATCATGACCTGAGCCAAAGGCAGATGCTTAATCAACTGAACCACCCAGGTGCCCCTCTTTCCCCTAACTCTTATTAAAATTTCAGCTCTTGGACACCTGGGTAGCTCAGTCATTTAAGCATCTGCTTTTGGCTCAGCAGGGAGTCTGCTTCTCCCTCTCCCTCTGCCCCACCCCACCTTGTGCACGCTCTCTCTCTCAAATAAATAAATAAATAAATAAAATATTAAAAATAAATAAAATAAAATTTCAGCTCTTGGCTTAAATGTCATTCCTCAGGGAGACCTCTGAACTTCAGAATAGCTCAAGTGCCAGCTTCCCTATACTTCTTCCTGGTGCTTATCATAATTATGTAATAATTGGTGTAATTATTTGTTTAATGCGTGTCTTTCTCACTGATGTTTGTCTTTCCCACTCTTCTCTAAGTGCCATGGCAGCTGAGGACATGCCTGTTTTGTTCACTGATGTATCCCTAGAACCTAGTACAGAACTTGACACATAAACAGTGCTCAAGAAATATTTGTTGATGAATGAATGTCCCTTTCAACCATAACTTTCCAGGAAGCACCCTCATAGTCATACTCTCCACTCACCACACTCTAGCCCAGCTCAGAGACGTAAATAAGCAATTAGAATGGACCTCCCTTTCTTGGAGGACCTGGGACCAGTTGATGAAGGAGAGGTCAGACAAACACAAAGGCCTTTGTCATATCCACAGCCAGAAGTGACCCCTGTCCAAACTCCTAACTGGTGGTCTCTGGTTTGCTAATTTACTCTAAACTAATAGCAGATAGCTAAGGGATCGGTATAAGATTTAAGCAGACAACTAAAATATCGATTAATAATTAAGGCTTGGCAAATAGCTAAACTAAGTGCTGAGATAAAACCTGATAAATAAAGTATATTGCTTATAAATAAAGTGTTAGAAAATAAAGTGCTAGTAGAAAATCAAATATTAACTACTCAAGTGTTAGGTGATTACTGAGGGATTAATTTAAACCTAAATTGTTAGCAGATACTGGTTAGCCAATGACTAAGGTAACAGTTGATAAGGATTTAAAGTGAGATTTTTTTTCCTAGGGAACTGTTGCACATTAGAGGGGACATGGGAGCAGCAGAATGCTGATAAAGCGTAGGAATGAAGGCCTACTTGGGACTGCAAAATCCTCAGCTGGACTAAATTTCTGGGGGAACTGTTTGCTCATCTTTGGTTTCTAGGTAGGTTCTAATCAGGGACAGCATGGAGCTGGTGCTCAAAATGCTTACTTTAGAATTAAATTATATATGCTAAAGGCCAGGTGCTGTGCTAAGGAGAAAAGGGAGAACAGTTGCTTAAATAATAGCACAGTGAATGAATGGTGTGTGAAAGGAAAGGCTTTGGGGGGGTTTGCAAAGGCTGAGTGGAAACGAGAGAGGTGTGTCAGGGAGACATGATGAGTTTAGTTCTGGACATGTTGAACTGAAATGTCTGTAGACATGCCCACTAGGCAGGTGAATATGAGTCCAGTATAGATACAAGGTAGAGATTTGAGTGTCAGTAGGACGTAGATGGTGGGGCACCTGGATGGCTCAGTTGGTTAAGCGCCTGACTCTTGATTTTGGTTCAGGTCATGATCTCAGGGTTAAGGGACTGAGCCCCGTGACAGGCTCCGCACTCAGCTTGGAATCTGCTTGAGATTCTCTCTCCCTTTGCCCCTCCCCCAGCTAGCTCCAAATAAATAAATAAATAAAATCTTTTTGTGGGAGAGGGAGAAGCAGGCTTCCTGCAGAGCAGGGAGCCCGATGCGGGGCTCGATCCCAGGACGCCGGGATCATGACCCAAGCCAAAGGCAGACGCTTAATGACTGAGCCACCCAGGCACCCCAATAAATAAAATCTTTTTAAAAAATAGGGCACTGATGGTAGTCCAAACTACGAGGAACAATCAGATGGCTGAAGAAGAGCAGCACATGGAGTGAGAAGAAGGAAGACCAACAGGGAAGGAGAGGGCAGGAGGAAGAGACATCAACAGATATGAGAAGGAGGGAGCACTCAAAGAGAAAGGGGTAAAACCAAGAAAGATAGTGGCATGAAAGGGAAGAGAATGTGTCAGGGAGAAGAGTGCAGTCAGCAATGTCAGATGTGGCTGAGAGGTCAAGCAGGATAGGTCAGAGAGACGTCCATTGAGAATGTGGTTCTGAGGTGTCCATCACGAACATTCCTATGATTGCTGCATTTCATTGTGTATATGTGTGTGCACAGCATATGCAGAGCTGGAACCTGGAGCAGGGTGTGTAAGGGCGGGCTGGAGGCCACCATAGTGGGGCTTGTGGTCTGCTCACAGAGAGCCTTCATTTACTCTGGGTAGCTTTTGAGAGGGACCATTAAGGGACACTGCAAGAACTATAAGCACAGTTCAACCCTTTCATTGTCCAGTGGGAAAATGGAAGACAGCAGAGAGGCAACAGTTTGCTCAGTCTATGAGTCAGGGGCACAGCCAGGACTTAAATGAGTCTCCCTTCTAGAAGAGTGACCTTGGGAGGAGTGGACATGAAATTCTTATTTGAATTTCTAATGAATTATCTATCTAATGAATTATCAATCAGTGACTTTGCCCATCATCTCAGTGTTTAGCAGGCTCCTTTTATATTTCTATAAAAGTGAAATACATATTTTACATACAAAATTCAAACATTACAGAAATACTTAACAAAGACAGTGAAGGTCTCCTGTTATCCCCTCTTTCCCCTGACTCCCTCATTGACAACCACCATTAATAGTTTAGTCTAGGGACACCTGGGTGGCTCAACTGGTTAAGCATCTGACTCAATCCCAAGACCCTGAGATCATGACCTGATTGAGCCCCACGTCAGCCCCACATCGGGCTCCACACTCAGGGAGCAGGGGGTCTGCCTGTCCCTCTGCCCCTCCCCACTCATGCTCCCTCTCTCTCAAATAAATAAATAAAATCTTAAAAAACAGTTTGGTCTATATTCCTCTCTCTCCCTCTCACTTAATATTGAAAATTTTTGATAAAAATATTATACTTCTTTATACTGGATTTTTTTTAAAAAGATTTTTATTTTAAGTAATCTCTACACCCAACATGGGGTATGAACTTACAACCCCAAGATCAAGAGTCACATGCTGTACAGACTGAGCAGCCAGGCACCCCTAGACCAGATTTGTGTGTGTGTGCATGTATTCATTCTGTTTTACAAGTTGCCCTTTTTTCACTTTTGGACAACTTTTTCTATGGTAGCATTTAGAAATTCTAGTTCATTCGTTTTGGGGCCCCTGGCTGGCTCAGTCAGTAGAGCGTGTGACTCTTAGTCTCAGGGTTGTGAGGTCAAGCCCCACGTTGGGTGTAGAGATTACTTAGAATATTTTTTAAAAATCTAATTCATTCATTTAATTTTAATTTATTTTTTTAGATTTTAAAAAAATGTTAAGTAATCTCTACACCCAACGTGGGGCTCAAACTCAACCCTGAGACCAAGAGTCTCATGGTCTACTGACTGAGCCAGTCAGGTGCCCCTAATTCATTCATTTTAATAACTGTATTAGTGTACCATTTGGATTTGTACCATAATTCATTATCAGACCATACTGATGGATACAGGGTTGCATCCAATTTTCACTATTATGAACAATGTACATACATATTATTGTACATATATATTTGCACAGTTTGGGAGACTTCTAGGATGAGAAATGATGGATCAAAGGACATGAACATTTAGTTTTAAAAGATACTGCCAAGTCACCCTCTAAAAACTTGTGCCAGTTCATTGTCCCACCAACAGTTACTATGAATGCCCATTTCCTCACATCCTTACCAACTATGGGTGTTATCATTTAAAAAAATCTTTCCAGGGACACCCAGGTGGCTCAGTCTGCCTTCAGCTCAGGTCCTGCATGGGGCTCCTTGCTCAGTGGGGAGCCTGCTTCTCCCTCTGCCTGCCGCTCCCCCTGCTTGGGCACTCTCTCTCTCTCAAATAAATAAAATCTTTAAAAAAAAATCTTTCCAAGTTTAATGAGGCTAAATATCTTCTCATATCCTTATTATCCATCTATATTATTCTATGAATTATCCATTCATATCCTTTGCCTATTTGTTTTTTGTTTTTGTTTTTGTTTTTTAAGTTCTGTTTGGCTCCTTTTTTTAAATTTATTTTTTTATTTTTTTAAAGATTTTATTTATTTATTTGACAGAGACACAGCGAGAGAGGGAACACAAGCGGAGGTAGTGGGAGAGAGAGAAGCAGGCTTTCCGCTGAGCAGGGAGCCCGATTCGGGGCTCCATCCCAGGACCCTGGGATCATGACCTGAGCCGAAGGCAGACGCTTAACGACTGAGCCACCCAGCGCCCTTTGTTTGCCTATTTGTTATTATAGTGTATTTTTGGTCAGTGAATTCTTATTGGGCAATAATGATTGGCTTGATAAAAAAAATGAGGAAGTCTTTGTACCAAATTGCTAACAGTATTTATTTACCTCCAGGGAGAGAGATATAGAAAATAAGGGGGATATCTTCATTTTTATTTTATATCATCCTGTATTATTTTACAATCTATTTGCATTACTTTTGTAATTAAAAAAAATAATACAGAGGACAACAATTACAACAACAAATAAATCTTTGGCCTGGATTCTTGATGGCTGGAAATTCATGTTGGGCACAAGTTTTTATTGATTACAAGTTATTTTTTGGTTTATATGCCAAAAAAAAAAAAAAAAAACCATTTATTGAATGCCTCCTAGTGAGCTGGCATTGCCCTAGGCACTTTCATAGATCTTTCATCCTCATCCTCACAACAACCCTGTGAGGTAGGAATTGGTCCCATTTTACAGAGTTCTTAGTAGGCAGGAGATTATTGCTTAATATACTTCTATTTGCCACATGCTTTCATGGGCTAGAGGTTCTTATTGGCTGGTGATTCATTGGTCAAGAGCTATCACTGGCCAAGAGTTCCTATAGGTTGTTCTAAGACTCAAATAATCCAAATGCTAGAAATTTTCCCCCATAGGAGTGATAGGGTAGGTGGGATAAAAATGGAGGAAGGAGAGTCCGTAGGCCCTCCCTCCAAGCACCATTGAGCACCACTGAGTTTGCTTTGGTCACCCATTCAAGGTGGAGGATGGGGGGTTGGGATGGGACAGTGGGAGAGGAGAGAAAGTGGTTATAAGTCTTCTCGCTTCTTCAGGATGAGCTTCCTCACGAGTGCCGTGATCTGGGGCCTGATCTCTTCCACCGACACAGTTGGGTCCCAAGCCCCTACTACCTTTCCATCTGGGGCCACTAGGTACTTCCAGAAGTTCCAGGTGGGCTCCTTCCCAGAAGTCTCTAGAGAAAAAGGAAGAAGGACAGCAAAGTGTGCTTCCCTGTGTCCCCTCTCCTGGAATTCCACTACCAGTGTCCATCCTTCCCTTGAAGCAGTGTTCTATTAGTTAGAATTAACTAAAGAGCTTTAAAAAAAATCCTGATGCCCATGGGGCGCCTGGGTGGCTCAGTCAGTTAAGCGTCTGCCTTCAGCTCAGGTCATGATCTCGGGGTCCTGGGATCAAGCCCCACATGGGGCTCCCTGCACAGCGGGGAGTCTGCTTCTCCCTCTCTCTCTCTGCCCCTGCCCCCGCACTCTCTCTCACGCTGTCTCTTTCAAATAAATAAATAAAATCTTTAAAACAAAATAAAATCAAATCAAATCCTGATGCCCAGTCCACCCCCCAGTCTACTTAAATCAGAATCTCTGGTGTTAAGATTCAGGCATCAGTATTATTTAAAAGCTCTCCTGGAGATGCCACTATGGCCCCAAGGTTGAGAACTACTACTGTAGGATTCTGTGAAATGCTTGATAAAGCAGTATCAGGTCCTCCTTTCTTAATGATCTCAAACTACTGAATAGTCTACACCCTATTCTCAAATGCAATCTTAATGGTTTCCAAATGTTAGTCTGTGGACTGGTTGCATCTGAATCATGGTGGTGGTGGTGGTATGGTGGGGGTGGTTAAAATAAACAGATTCTTGGGCTCTGATTCAGTAGGTCTCAGTCTAAACCACTTTTAAGAGCTCCCCAGTTGCTTCTAAAACAGTGTTAGGTTTGATCTATAACTATGGGAACTGGAAAGGTACTAATAAAAACAAACGGGGGAAAAAAAAGCAAATATTAGGATTGACCCATAGAGCAAAATTCAAGTCTGCCTCAGTAAGGGATCTTTTGTTTGCTACACTGTTGTTTTTCATTTACTCCTCCAGGTGAATGCGGGGGTGGTGCTGAGGGATATGAAGGCAGTCAGAAGCATAGAATAGAAGGCAAAAATGGAGTCCCCAATGGAAGAGAAAGGCCCAAGGGAGGAAAGAGGGCCATAATAACAAGCTTGGCCCATGACCCCATCTTGTGGTTCTGAGGCTCCTGGGGGTGCAGAAGGGATCTATTTCTGAAATATTAATATCTGGTATTTTTTGCTCCAAAGGTTTCCCTTCCATGGTCTACAAACTTGGCCCCTAACTTAGGACAGGAGATACCTGTCAGCCATCTTGGTCAGCCTTCTCCAGGCATGTGGCATCCCCTGTCTGTGCCTTGGTTTCCCTGTCCTAAGTCCATAAGCTCAACTAATTCACATTGACTAAATCTGAGGGCCCAGTCTCCTTTTAAGAACCCCTGCGTATGAAAACAGGATCCCAGAGAAGTCTGCAAGAGTAACTCTGAGGGAGAACCTCAAGGCAGTGGGACAGGGTGGGGGTTAGTAATATTCTCGGGCAGGAATACATCTCAGCTCATCCTCAAAGATTAGTGCTGGAACAGACCATGAACCTACATGCAGGGGTCTGGAAGGGGCCCCAGGTCACCCAGCCAGCCAGTGGCTTTTGCATGCCCCAGGGAGCCATGACCTCAGCCAGCTACGGGAAGATGAGGGAAAGGATCAGGACTCACGGATCAGGTACTTGAAGGCAGGGTGGGCACCAGTGCCTGTGACTGCGACCTTGCTAAACATGGGGAAAGAAACACTGTAGGTGCGGCGGGCAAAGCTCTCGATCTCCTTGTTGGTATCGGGCTCCTGCTGGCCGAACTGGTTGCAGGGGAAGGCAAGCACATTGAAGTGGTGGGGCCCCAGGTCCCGCTGCAGCTGCTGCAAGGCTCGGTAATGCTGGTCCGTGAAGCCGCACTCGCTAGCCACGTTCACCACCAGGGACACCTGGGTGGCAAAAACAAAACCCAGACACATACACAACCCAGTGACGAGTCATGCACTTGTACATGACCTGACCTGCCCACACAGTGACCCCCGCCAACAATTAATGCTTTCTCACATATACAAGGGCACAATGTATACATACATAAGCGTGCAACCCTCTCACAGATACATGAACACATGCATGCAGGCACAAATGAAATCAAACATGCAGGGGCTTACAGATATGTGTGCATACACATACATGAACATTAATGAGAATAAGAATACAATATCCATAAATGGGGATGCATATGCCCCAAGATACAAAACACATCAGCGCACATCACACATGCCCACAAACACGACACATACACAGAGAGAGGTGCACACGCTGGTGAGCTCACATCACGAGGTAATGTAGGGGAGGAGAAAGGCAGATCTGGGTTCAATTTCTGGCTCAGTCAACTGGCACTCATCACTTTACATGGTCTCCCTTGTAATAAACCCACTGTGAACCCACTGAAGGCAGGAGCTATGTCTGCTTCATGCCTGAGCTTGACATATGGAAAAGAAAGCAGAAAGTGTGTGCTGAATGAGTAAGTTAATGTGCACACATACACAGTCACCTGCATGGGTATATAGACAGACATGGGTTTTCTTCATAAAAGGACCCCATGGCAATCCATCCCATTTTGCCCCTCTCCCTCCAGCACACAAATATCACTTTCTTGAGTCACTAGACTAATCCTTAAATTTATTATCACCTTATAATAAATGCATTTATTTATAGCCTTTAGGTGATAAATACAAAGCTGGCTGATGGAACTCAATTATAATACTGCAATTAGAACTTTGGCACCAAGGCTGTTTTTAGCTTCTAGTTATACATTGTTGAAGAATTCTTAAATCTTACCCTGTGTCTGGGCAGCCCAGCCCCATCCCTTTGGCCACTTTTTTGGAAGAGCAGGGATTATACTAGCTGGCTCAGTAAAGAGGGCCACTCCCAGAGGCAGCCTGGCACTGGACATGCACAGGCACAAACTGCTCAGGCTACACAGGGTTTCTCAACCTCAGCACTATGGACATTCTGGGCCAGATAATTCTTTATTGTGCAGGGGCTGTCCTATTCATTGTAGGAAGTTTAGCATCATCCCTGGCCTCTACCCACTGGATGTCTAGTTTTGACAGTCAAAAATGTCTCCAAACATTGCTGTATGTCTCCTAGAGTAGTTGAGAACTACTTGGCTAGATGATGAGAACCGTTGAGTTATAACTCCCCTACCCTGCCTTCACCAGATAAGGAAGGACCCATCCTATGGGGCCACAGGCCATTAGGACAACCTCCCTCGTTTGTGTCAGCATGTCATATTCTGCCTGTGGTGGTAAGAAACTAGGACCCTTAACTCCCTTCCCTAGTTAGCGGTCTTCCTCTTCTCTGCTGGATCCCTGGGCCATGAGAACATTAAAGGTTGCTTATTTTTAACCTACATCTTATGCGTCTGCCCACTCTTTTGGAAGGAGGGAAATTCTGCTTCAAGTTCCATACCTGAAACCAAAAAGTTTATCCTTAAAGTGACCAAAACAAGGATAGACAGACACACCCAAATACACATAGTTAATTTACATATATGTATATCCAAACATAGATATAGACTCAGGTGTGCGCATAGAAGTAAACAAATCATTTGCACACACGATACACTCAGGCCCACATGTACATAAGCTCACACCCTAGACAAGCACATTCGCAGGTGGTCACCTATTCATCCATACTCAACACTGGTCTAAATGACAGCCTTCCCATATAGCCTGAGGGCACAAACCATACAATCTTGCTCATGGCTTTGTCTCCAGGGTTGGACCCAGTGCCACGCAGGTACTGGGAGCCAGTAAACCTTTTTCAATTTTTTTTTTCTTTTATTTATTTATTTATTTGAGAGAGAGAATGAGATAGAGCATGAGAGGGGGGAGGGTCAGAGGGAGAAGCAGACTCCCCGCCGAGCAGAGAGCCCGACGCGGGACTCGATCCAGGGACTCCAGGATCATGACCTGAGCCGAAGGCAGTCGCCCAACCAACTGAGCCACCCAGGCGTCCCCCTTTTTCAATTTTTTAAAAAGACTGTGGTAAAATACACATAATGAGCCAGTAATTATTTACAAGTGAATGAATGACTCTACTGTCTAAATGGTAGATCCAGCTTGGGTTAACTCACAGAATCCTTTACAGCTTCCCTGGACTGACTATTCCTGGTTTCCATTTAAACCTGGCAGTTAAGGGCTTGGGCTTTGGAGCTGAACTGCCTGGGTTCAAATTCTGACTCTATCTCTTAGTAGGTATGTGACTTTGTTCTTTTTGTTTGTTTCAATTTCTTTCGGATTGATTTCTTGGCTTCTCACTCCCATGCTTTTAAGGATTTACCAATGACCTAGAGTATTAAAACACTCAGAATTCTGGGATCACTTCTCTGGGTCATTTTTCTCCAGAATTTCTCTTCCTCACATTCTGAGTGCCTCATTACTTCTGAAAATAAATAGACTTTGTTTTATTTATGTCGTAGCACTTAGTACCACTGTACAAGGAATTACCTTCTTCATTTCTCTGTTCCTGTTTATTGTCTCTCTTTTCCATTTCATAAGCTCTATTAAAGTGGAAACTTGTCTGTTTTGTTCACCACTGTATCCCAAGGACTGGCCTAGTACTTAGCATACAGTAGGTGCTCAATAATAATGAATGAATGAATAGCAGAGCTGGTTAAGTGCTAATCTGGGACTCTCTGTCAAGCTGCACTAGAAGGAAGGAGAGACCTGACTGGGAATGGGCCCTACTCTTACAGGTTCTTTGTCCTCAGTCCTGAATGAGTTTCCTGCTGGGGCCCACCAAACACAGGTACAGAGCACGTTACCAAGTGCTTCTGATGTAGGAAAATGTTGAAGTTCGGAGCTGACAGCCAAGAAAGAATTCTTGAGATGTCTTTGGTGCAAAAAGGTGCTTTTATTCAAGCACAAGGATAGAACCAATGGGCAGAAAGAGCTGCTCTGGGGTCATGAGGAGTGGCTGATTATATACTTTCAAGTTGAGAGGGGGTTAGGGATAGCACAAGCCTCCAAGGTAATTTGGAAACAAGGTTTCCAGGATCCTGAGGGGGCTAGCTGTTGTTGGGAAAAGTTCATTTATTACTGTTTAGTAAAAATTCAGTCATGAGACCCTTCAGATGTGTACCAGTGGGTCATTGGCTTGGAGGATGACTGCTAACATCTATCTTGGAGGGTAGAGATACAGGAAGTTTCCAAAGAAATTTTTATATGTTAAAGTAGATTCACAGGATCCTGGGGGGTCAGGCTAAGATTGCCTTTTGTCCTTAGCAAAGTGTCAGCGAGGCAGCTGAATTCCTAGAAGGTCACTCTACCTGTTTCAAGACTTGTCGATGGGCTGTAGGCAGTAAGGAAATTTAATTTTTTCTTTTGCCTTTGTTTCCCACATCACTTCCACACTGTCATCTCATTTGAAATTCACAACACCTTGGGGGACAATCAGGACAAGGAATATTACCCCCAGGACTCCCAGCGTAACTGGGCATTTTAAGGTTTAGAAAGTACTTTCTTCACTAAAGACTTCCTCCCAGGAGAAGAATGCTGATAGCCATTTTTGTGTGGTCCTTCCAAATCTGGATGCTGTACCTATGTGTCCATTACCAACTCCTCACCTTTCCCACACCAAGGCCCTACCTAGGTTCATCTTTTCTTCTTCTTCTTTTTGTCTCAGGTCCATCTTGAGAAATGGACTTTGAGCGCTCTTCATTACACACAGTGCAGTATCTAGGCCTCTGAATATAGTGTTCGAGGCCCCTCGGGCGGTACCTACTCACTTCAGCCTCATCCTCTACCACTAAGCCTCATGCTTTATACTCCTGCAAGCGGAATGCTTGAAGCCCACACATCCCTCCTCCATCCTTCCTGCTGTTTGCTTCTGAGCCTTGGTATGAACAGTTCTTTGCCTGGAATGCTCTTCTTGGTCTTGCCAAAACTCACTCTTGTTTCAAAGACTCACCCAGGCACATTTTCTCTCTGAGTCCTCTCTCAGCTGAGATTCCCTCTTGATAAGGAGACAGCAGTTAGCCTGGGTGACTCTTGTAGCTCAGCCCCAGCTGCCATCTTAGGAGTTTGCCTAGAGAAGTCCACAGATGGATGGGTGATTCTCCTCCAAGCTCTGTGCTTTCTAGAGCTGTGTGACCCTATGCAAATACCTTCCTTTCCTCTAGTGTCCCGTCTAAAGGAAGATCTGTGTAAGGTCCCCGTGCATCGGAACTGATAACTCCCCCCTGCACTGCACATTCATTTTCCCAGTGCTCACATTGGACTCAATATCAGCAACAATCCCAGCTCCCGGACGCGGAAACTGGGGGTGGGAGAGACAAAGGCGGCAGGATGCTAGGGTTTCTTTCCGACCCGTGCATGACAAAGGCTGGGTCGAGGCGAGCAGCCTCTGGGAGAGGTCCGGACTCCAAAGCCAAGGTCGCTGGGAGGGAAATCGGCGTCGGCTGGGAGAGTTTTGGGTTTCACTGCGCGCCGGGGCCCTGCCACGTCGTCGCGGGACAGACCCAGAGCAGGATCTGGGGGCGCTGCACCCCGTGGGGAATGCCTGGGATGGTGGGAGCCAGGGCACGGCTGCGGAGCCCCCTCGGAGCCACACACGCACGGTCGCGGGCCGCGGGGCTCGAGCACCAGGCCTTGTCGGGGCGGCGCCGAGGCCCCGCGGGCGGACACTCACCGAGCCGCGGTACTTCTCCAGTGACACCAACTTGCCCCGGATGTTGACCGCCTTGAAGTCGTAGAAGTCCTGTTCGCGCTGAGCGCAGACCGCGGCCGACAGGAGCAGCCACGCCGCCACCACGGCAGCCACCATGACTGGCTCCCGAGCTGGCGGCGCTGCGAGGGCAGAATCGAGGCGGGGGGACTCAGCGTGGGGGGCGGGCGGAGGCGGCTCCGGCGCCGGGCGGCTGGGGACGCTGGACGCGCCCCCTCGCTTTCTGCCCCGCTGGCGCTGGAGCACCCGGCTCTGGACCTCAGTCTCCCCGCCTGCACCGCGGGAGCGTCCGACTGCGCGCCGGTTCTCCGACCCCAGAGTCATGGTTTGGGGATTCTGACCACTGAGACCATTCTGAGCAGTTGCGGTGAGGCTCCGTCTCGTCGCAGGATGCGGCGACTTGGTAGGGAAAGGAAGGTGAAAAACTGGATCTGAGAGCTCGACTTTTAATGAGCTCAGTGGCCTTAAGCTGGTCACGCCACTTCTCTGGGCTTCAGCTTCTCCATCTGTTCAGTGGAGCTAGCTAGCCTCCCTTCCTGACGCACCCGGACAATATAGAATGGGAGTAATAGAAAAATGGAGGTGAAATTGACGGGAGAAAAAGAAACAAAGGCCAGACTTTGCTGCTGCTGGGGGTCTGCAGGCAGAATCCCTGACGCTTACGGATTGTAACACTCCCTACAGCTCTCTCAAGGACTTCCTTTATTGCTTTACCTTATAGCTTTGCTCTTATTAGTGTCACTTTCCCTGATAGCTGTAAACACTCCCCAAGATATATTTGCAGTTACCTCCTGAGCATATGGCCCACTGATAGACATCTGAAGGGTCTCATGACTGATGTTTTACTAGGCAGTAGTAAATAAACTTATCTTAGCAGCAGCTAGCCCCCTCAAGGTCCTGAAAGCTTTACTTCCAAATTCCTTAGACTGTCGCCATCCCTAACCCCCACTAACTAAAAAGGGTATCATCAGTCACTCCTCACAACCCCAGTGCAGCTCTTTCTGTCCACGGGTCCTGTCCCCGTGCCTTAATAAGACCACCTTTTTGCACCGAAAATGTCTCAAGAATTTTTCTTGACTGTTTGCTCCTGGTCCATATCACTTCAAAATGCTTTGTCAGCGGAATGGTGCCTACAAACTTTAGGTGAATGAATATATGTTCCCTGAAAGAGATGGCATGGAGAAAGGGAAGAGAAGACAGAGGGCCTGTTGCAGGTTGGGTTTTGGGGAAGCAGATTCTGAAATGGAGGTTACCGTGAAGGAATTTATGAGGGCGCACCCTTGGAATCAACACCTGTGGAAGGGAGGGAGGGAACAGGAGTGGGCCCAAGTCCGGAGCTCCTTGCAGGCCCAAGGACAGTCTTGGCTGACCCCATGCAGACTCTGGAGCTAGAATGGCCCATCAGAGTAAGCCCCAGATAAGCTAAAATGGCCAGGCCAGGGCTTTATATCCCTGCTTCACCAGTTGCTGGATGGGGGCCATCTGGGAAGGGGCGTGACAGGGGCCAAGGTGACTCTGTCCCTGGAGGGGCCCATAGTCAAAGGCTTTCCACTGACAGCCCTCCCAGCAGTTGGTGTCTCAGCTGTTAACTGATGGGGAATCTGAGCAGCACATCACAGTGTCTCCCATATTCAGAAAACCCTGACTGAGCCCCACAAAGTGCCCAGCATGGTGCTGGGTGCTGATGCTGTACTAGTTCTTCAGGAGCTCACAGGCTGCTGTGAGAGTGTAGCCGGGGCGCAGGGGGGCAAGAGCACCTGGCTCCAGGGGCCCCAAACAGACCAAGTTGGGCCACTTGTTACTGACAAAATCCAAAGGCAAAGAGATGAGTGGTGGTGCAATGAGAAAGGAGTTTATTTCAGTAAGGTCAACACCGGGAAGACAGAGGACTGGAGTCCCGAAGACGGTCTCCAAAGTGCCAAAAGTACTTCCAGGTTTATATATGGAAAATGTGGGGCAAAAGTGGGTGGGTACATGCAGGTAGGCAGTGGCAGTCAAACTGATCATTGTCTTGGAGTCAGTCATGGTCAGGGTCTTGCTGGCTCAGGGCAGTCCTGATTACTTGAAGGGGTGGCTTGGGTCCCTTTGCCTGGAAGGTCTTCCATCTGAGCCAAGAGACAAACTGGAAAAAAGAACCCAAGTGGAGAATTCGAGGTCAAAATGGAGGCAGCCGAAGTCCTCTTTCATGAGAAACCAGGTAAACTGGAGATTTGATATAATGTGGTAAGGGCTAAGCACTCCTACAGCCACTCAACAAACACTTATTGAGCACCTGGTCTATGCCAGGTTCTGCTCTAGGTGCCTCTTAGGCAGTGATGAACAAGACAGCATGGTCCCTACCCAGGGGGAGACAGGGTATTAACTAATTCATAAATAGGTCTATAATTACTACTGTGTTAAGTACCACCTAAACTAGCCTGGTCGGGGAAGGGGAGGTAGGCAAGGAGGGCTTCCCAGAGGAAAGAAAGTTTGAGCTGCACTCTGAAGAGTAAGAGAAAGTAGCCAGTTGAAGCAAGAAAGCAAGTGCAAAGGTCCTGAGGGAGAGAGAAACACGGTGCATTGAGAAGCAAAGAAGGCTAGTCTGGCTGGAGCAGAGAGAGCAAAGAGTGAGAGAGGAAGGTACTGCTGCAGGTAAGGGTGAGGTCACATAATACCAAGTAGGCCACCGTAAAGAGTATGGTCTTTAAGCCAAGAAATGAGGGTAATGGGTTATTGTTGTTATTTATGTATCTTTTTTTTTTTCCTTTTAGAAGGGGAGAGAGGAGGGGCAAAGGGAAAGAAAGAATCTTAAGCAGGATCCACACCCAGCATGGGTCTTGAATCATGACCCTGAGATCAGGACCTGAGCTGAAATCAAGAGTCAACGCTTAGCTGACTGAGCCACGCAGGTGCCCACTGTTGTTGTTATTTAAAGCAGGGGAGTCTAAGGATGTAGAAAGATCCCTCTGGATGTTCCAAAGAGAGTGGATAGAAACAGGAAAGAGCACATGTGTTCTAGGCACTGAGGTAAAGGAAACTCTGGGTTTTTAAGGCCTAGAGGCAGTTGCTAACTTAGTAGTCAGGAAAGTCTTCCTGGAGGTGGTAACACTAGAATCCTGTCTTCAAAGAGGAGTGGGAATTCTCCAGTTTGGGGAAGGAGAGGGCAAAATGTCAGCCTGAGAGAGCGGGGCCTGTGAAGGCACAGAGTCTTCACAAGAGTCTGCTTGGCTGTTGGGATGAGAAGGGTAGAGGGTAGGTGAGATTGATGTGGTCATCAGGGGCCAGATGGAGAAGGGTCTTAAGTGCCAAGCCAAGGAGCTTGGACTTCACTCTATGCTGTGACAAGCAAAGTTTTGAAAGGTGGGCACAAGATCACATAGTTAATGAAACTCAAATCCAGGCCTTCAAATTCAGAACATGGGCACTTTCTGAACTGCCAAGGTGGCCTCTCTCTTCAAGAGCAGACAACATTATCAAGGAGAGGAGGAAAAGGAGAAAAGGTGCTCCTGGCAAGAGCCAAGACAGAAATAAGGTGCTCCTGCCATTCCCACTTCCTCCCCCACCTCCACCGTGGGAGTCTCGGGCCTGTGATGCTTCTATGGTATTAAATGGCTCCTGCTTTGCTCTGCCCCATGAAGATGTTGATCTCCCTTCCTGCCATCTGTCCCTTTCATTCAGCCTGTCCCTGGATGTCCCAATAACCATGAGTTCTCAAATTCTGCTCCATACAACTTAGAGTTTTGCAAGCTTGGCCAAGCTGTTTCCTGTTAAAATCCAGATAGGTAGGCATTTCTACTAAGCTGGAAAAAAAAAATAGTGATGATGATTCTTTTTTTTTTTTTTTTAAAGATTTATTTATTTGAGAGAGCGAGAATGAGAGAGAGAGTACATGAGAGGGGGGAGGGTCAGAGGGAGAAGCAGGCTCCTCGCTGAGCAGGGAGCCCGATGTGGGACTCGATCCCAGGACTCCGGGATCATGACCCGAGCCGAAGGCAGTCTCCTAACCAACTGAGCCACCCAGGCGCCCAGTGATGATGATTCTTACTTAAATTTCTCTTCTGGGGCCTGTCTTCCTTCCCTATTCATGTTTGGGAACCCAGGTCAGATATCACCCTCCTCTGGTACTACACTTAATCACTCTCTCTTCTCTAATGCCTTTGGAGCTAGTACATTTTCCTCTTGGTGGGCTGGTGATAATATTGTGTAGTTGTCTGTTTCCATGGCTATCTTCCCCAGCAGCCATTGAGGCCGGCTGGACCATATCAGAATCATCATTGTCCCCCTGGCATACACTAGCTAATCAGTAAATATATTTATTTTTCTTAAACCTTCTGGTGACTTTTATTACTTGTCTATGCTAGAATCTGATATGAGATGCTATTGATTTTCGCTATCAGTGTATAGTTTGTCATTTTATTTTCAGTCCACTGTGAGTTTTTTGTGTTTCTGAAAGAGCACCGCTATTTCCAGGTGGTATATCTATATAAGTGGGAGACCCATGGGCACACACAAATGCACACACAGTTAGCTGAGTGCCTGAAAGGGTAAGGGACTCACTCCTGGATATCCTGTACTCCTCTTCCCAATAATAAGCTCAAAGAAGCTTTTTATGGGTATTTAGAATACTCATTAATGTTTTGTTCATTCCTCAAATTATTGATCACCTACTATCTACAAAACACATTTTTTTCCCCAAGATTGTATTTATTTATTTGACAGAGAGAGTGAGAGAGCACAAGCAGGGGGGCAGCAGAGGCAGAGGGAGAGGGAGAAGCAGATTCCCGACTGAGCAGGGAGCCTGACGCAGGGCTTGATTCCAGGACCCTGGGATCATTACCTGAGCTGAAGGCAGATGCTTAACTGACTGAACCACCCAGGCACCCCAACAAAACACATTTTAAGGGTTAGGAATATAGTAGTTAATAGGACAGACCAAAAAAAAAAAAAAAAAAAGACAATAGTTCTTGAACTTACATTCTTATAGGGGGAAAAAGAATAATAACTAAAATGTATAATATGAAGCATATAGTACATTAGATGGTGGTAACTAGGGAGAGGGATAGAGAATGTGGTGGTGAAGGGAGGGCGGGGGAGTGGGAAGGATTTTGCAGCTTTAATTCAAATGATCAGGAGGCCTCACTGAGAAAGTGGCATTTGAGCAAAGACCTGAAGAAAGAGAGCAATGGGGAGAATTAGTAGAAGAGCGACATTCCAAATAGAGGAAACAGCAAGTCCACAGGCCCTGTAGCAGGAGCATGCAGGTGTGTTTGGAGAACAGCAAAGAGGCTAGTGTGGCTGGAGTGGAGCGGATGAGGGGAAGAGTAGCCGGGGATGATGCTAGAGAGGTAATGGGATGGGAGCAGGCCGATACCGCAGGGCCTTACAAGCCATTGTAAAGACATTGGCTTGGAATCTGAGATGTTAAGCCATTAAAGAGTTTTAAGCAGGTGGGGCGCCTGGGTGGCTCAATCCATTGAGCATCCGACTC